CACACTGAAAACACACCTCAACCTTTAATCATGGGGTTTCTTTAAAGTTTATTCATGGATTACCATTTTATAACTAATTTTGCTCTTGTTGGAGTCTCTAGGAAAATGACTTCAGATTCCCAAAAATCCTCAACTCCAGCTTGGACCATTTATAGTATCTTTGGTTTGATATCTCTTGCTGCCTGCATGGCACAACCTACTCACATACACAAACAACCCCAAAACTGAGCATGTCTGAAGCAGAGTATTACCAAACACCAAACTCTTTTTCCTAAATTCTCTTCTGGAGAGTGGTGCTATTATTTCCTTCTTTTCCCAGGCTCACAAGCATAGTTAATTCCCACCCAGTTATCAATATATTCCTTTCTAATGAGCCAGACATGGATTTTAGTCTATTACCAAGTCCTGCCACTTCATCAATTGCCGTCTTCCTCTAGTAGATAGTGAGGGTCCCGCGAAGACAGGGACAGTGTCTTCTGTCCTTTGTATTCCCAGTTCCTGACATTATGCCTACATATTTTAGGTGGTTAACAAGTGAATGAAATATTGAATGACTGGATTGCCTTCATTCTTGTTCCCTTTTGACCCTTATTCTCACTGCTTGACTTCAGTTAGATGATGTGAATGTTGAACACTCCCAACAGCATCCCACTCACTCCTTTCACATATCAGAGCCAGATTCAAATTCTTTGGGCGCTCGCTGAAACCTTATGTGGGACCCAATTTGTATTACTTGGTCCTTGTATTCCAAACATTTTTGGACTGTTCCACTCCTCTCCTCAAAAGCTTTTAATTGCTTCCCAAATTAAATGAGAACCTTTTTATGAGTTTCAAAAGATTTCACTTAGCGGACATTCTCTTTTATAGGTGCTTCATTTCTAAATTTGTATTTAAATTCTCTGCTCTTGTCTATTAAATTTCCTAGAGGAACCTGAATGTGACTTTTCTGCTCTCCACCTGGGCCTTTCATATGTGTTAGTTCCAAAGCAGTAAAATGTGCTTTCACTTCTCCACTTAAATACCTGCCTTCAGAATGACTTCATATTTATTCCTTCAGAAGATCCTGCTGGAGTCTAGATACCAATAACTAACCAGCTAACCCAAACTCACAGATAGCCGAGTGGTTTTGTGTGTATACTTAAGCTTTATCTTCATCTTAAAGTGTTTACTGTGGTAGAGAATAAAATGCTTATACAGTGCTGGTCACTCATTTCAAAGGAAATTTGACAGGGTAAGGTGTATGTGGACTCTGGAATTAAAAAAGTAGACAGGCCCAAGTTACTACTTACTAGTGGTGTAACAAGTAATTTACCTAATCTTGAGACCTCTGTTTTCTCATCTGCAAAATGGGAATGGTGATAATTACCTCCTGAATTAGCAGAGGATTAAATATGCATCAGTTGGCCCAGTGCTAGGAAATTACAGTAGATTTGATATATGGCACTAATACAATTACCACTAGATGAAAAGAGTATAAGCCTCAGTTTTAGATCATTTGCTTTACAAAGCACAACTAGTTCTTGCCATTTTAATAAGGGAGCATAGAAGAAAGTGACTTCTTTCTCCTGTAAACTATCACATACATGCTTAAAGTTTTAGGATGTGAGAACCTTGTCTTCTTACTTTTAAATATTACATATTAATTTTTCTTCCTTTTGTATATATTAGGTAACCTCAAATTTATTTCATCTTGGAATGTTCATTCTTTTAAAAAAGTGCCAATTGCCTTTTAATACCCTAAGAATTGGAGAAGTACCTGGCTATATCAGTGATGTCTATCTCATTATACAAGCTGTCTTGCCATCTCATCAATAAAAATCATAAAAGATGCTGCCCAACTTGAGAGCCAGCTGATGTATGCAAAAGAAATTCACTGAATCAATATAGGTACATGTCCTGATGACTGGCTAAATTCAGAAAGGAAAAGGATGATCTAGTCCATTTTCATTGTTGATGGAAAACATCCTTGCTTTATGTTGTCAGGGACCTGAGGGTAGAAAGTGTATACATTTTTTGGAACCATGGAAACATCACTAAAATGATGAGACTCTGGAGGGCCTACAGTGTGAGAATACACTACCAAAGAAATCACTGTCTTCTGGGAAGGGTAATAAACAACAGGGTATGGGGTTAGACCACAGGTATCTGGCTTAACAGTTCACAGTTGAGAATGGTAGGTAGCCTCAGAAAATTATCAAATGCCTCTGCTGAGCCAGTTACCGGTAAGATTCCACCTACATGTGTACTACTTAAGTATCTTCCTACATACTTGAGCCTAAGTGACCTGTCAGCAGAGGGTGTCTATGACAGTTGTAAGAGAATGGCCTTGCTTGCTGAGGATTTTGTGTGGGTGTTGAATATGGCACTTTTATGAGGTGCAAACTTTTTAATGCAAGGATGACTCATAATGTTTCAGAATGTGTAAATATGAAGAACCATCTAACTTAAACCGTCATTGGTGCTCACCCACAGCAAAACTAGCCTGGGTTTGATTACCGAATTGTTTGGACTACCAGGAAATTCACAAAATTTACCACTCTTAAGTTGACAACAAAAATTCTTGGGATAATTTTAACATTTGTGTGGCACTTCTATCTTGAACATCAAGTTCTATGTACTTAATCTACATTTTTCAACATTATGTTTGATGGCACCATTCAGTTAACTCTATTTCTCTGAGATTAAGAATTCAATTGTTTTGAGAAGTTATACTGGAAAATTTAAATAGAATTGTTTAATAAAGTAAAATTAAATAGATGAAATTTCTTACTGAGGTGTCTATAATCAGGCAATAAAAATAAAACTGAAAAAGGTTATAGATGTTGAAATAAAATTGAGATCGGTGTTTTATGAGATTCATTTCCAATGTTTTTAGAGTATTATCCAATTGCTACAAAAATGTCATAAAATTTTCCTTTGACTGAAGATGAACTGGTAAAGACTAGAACTTTAACATTAGAGTGATAATGGAAGTAGATTATTTAGCTGTCAGAAGAACAACCTTGGAAGTTGTGACCAAATACTCAGATACAAGCAGGAAACCCAGAATTCAACAGTATATTGTCTTAATATTTAAAAATTATGTGGTCCTTAAAAGACAGGGAGAATATGAAAGAACAATTAAATAAAGGACCTTAACCAATTCTGTAAATGGAACCACTCATTATTCATAGTTCCCTTAAAAGTGACTTAAAATTTGCTACTTATAGGTTGAAAAAGATTTGTAAATTATACTTAAAAACCAAATTTGATTAGCTTTTTCCACATAAAAAATATAAAACAACCTTCCAAGATGATTCTTCCACAGGTCAGTAGAAACAGAAGCTAGAGAAGAGGTTTTAAAGCTTTTAACCTAGGCATACTCAAAAAAGTAAGAAAAATCCTAGCCTAGCATTTTTAGCTTTTGATCACATATATTTAAAATCAGAATCATCTTACAGGGTCAGTAAAGATACAGTTAACAGTAAGGTTTTTAAGATTAAGCATATCTACAATAAAAATAAATTTCTGGAAATGTGGTCATTCTTTTACTAATTTTGAAGGCCCAATCAAGAATCTCATTTATGAGGCCACCCACACATAATTATGAATGTATAAGCTTGAAATCCCTGAAACACCATTCATGCACACAGCTGGATCATAGGGTGGTTTTAGTTAAATAGTAGCTACCATATTTGGTCATTTGCTTCAAGCTGTTACAAGCACAAAATGTTTGCTCAATTCTAACTTCAGCTATTTACCTATTGTACTCATTTCCCATAAAAGATCAGCCTCTAATTTCCTTAGGTATCTTGGGTTGATTTTTTTTTGAAGAGTCTGTATTAAGTGAATTACAAGCAAAAGGGGTATTATATCAGTAACACTTAAAATCTGAGTAGCCAAGTGAGCAGACCATATGTCAAAAATTCCTTGTGTGCTTATTTAGGTTTTAAGTCCTAAAAACTGTCAACTATAATTGTAAAGGTACAGTAGGTGTTAGCAGCCTCACAATCACCAAATCCTAAAGCTTTTAGCCAGGTAGTTTTGCTAATTAAAGGCAAGAAAAAGAACATATTTCTACCCCTGCCTTTTGAGAGGTTCAATGGGACTGCCAAAGAATTATCCTGGTAAGCAGACCAAACTGGCATTCAGCTTCAAAATAAAACTGTAATAACCTTTTTTTTTTTAAGTGGCCTCAAAGTGAAATGCACTACCATTATGGGTCTATCACATCTCACCTTTTCTGTTAACTCTTCCAGTCCTGGCTGATCTCTTCTAAGTCTCACTCACTAAATATGCTTTCACCTACAAAAATATCATAATACTATCAGCCTACTATCATAATAATGCCTACTGAATACAGAATGCACTAGAATGTCAGCTCCTTATTCATCCCAAGTCTGTTACACACAAAAAATTGTGTTTTATCTGAGTGGTATCAGTTCCCAATCAACTAGGTATTCCCAAAGGGCAAGGATCATGTCTTATATTTCCTCTGACCTTCACTCTCACCCTAGTACCTAACACAGTGCTAGACACATGGAAGCTCTTCATTTATCTACCAAACTCATCAATTAAAACTTCATGGCCCAGCTTTTGCTAATTCTCTACCACAGATTAGCTCAATTTCATAAAATTAGCCTATAAATACTGAGGCCAAATTACATTAACTTTACAAATATTCGTATTATTATAAATGTTAGATCCTAATGTTCCTCCTTATATTTATTAACTTAGTTGGTTAGATATAATAGATAGTTTTTAAAGTATCTTTGTAAACTTCTCCTAAGTGAGAATATCAACAGTCAAACTCTCTGAGAGACCAGAGTCAACAAAGTACCTGAATGACAAATGACTTTCTGGAAATGAAGGTAGCCTACAATAACATTTAGTCTTAGCTTAAGACCTAAGTACCTGGTCCCTGACACAAAAGCCCAGCCCAAATAATCAGAGAAGGGAGGCAGAATAGGCTTGTATTACCTACTGTGAAAAGTGCTATGCAGAAGTTCTATAAACATAAATGTGTGAGGCACAGAAAATCTTTATTGCCACAGGAAGCAAGTGCACTCATCCCACCTCACCAACAGCTTTAAGAGTCACAAAAACACAGACTTCACATCATAAAGTATAACACAGACTTGGGAGAAATGGTCCCTTGGACTATATTGGCTGTAATACTGAGGTAACCAATTGACCTTGTTCAGTGAAAATATCTCTAACACAATGAAAAAATCAACTAGTTTTGACAACCAATTCATATATACAATTCAAATAAAAATATATATTATTTGCTTCAATGTATAGCAAGTTTAATACATTAGTGTTTACAAAATAAAAACCATATTCTACTGATTTTTCTTTTGCTTCCCCCTTATCACCAAGCTTGAAAGACCAGAGAAGTATACTTACGGAAACCTATTCATGGATAAAAGATGCAGTTTGTGGGGCCATGAAAAATGGATAAATAGTTGGAAAATTACCACATCTTTAAAAACTGTTGCTTATTAAAATCTACAAACTTCAACTGTAAGACACAATTTAAAAAAAACCCACAAAATTTCTCAAAATAGATTAGAATACAGGAAACGTTTCATGAAACTACTGAGATACTAACCAGTTCTATGGCTAATATTAAAAACCGAACAATCTATTTAAATTTGTACCCATACTATTTCTATACACACTGAACTGTACAACCACAGTTATTAACCTCAAGCTAGCAACAAAGTTGCAAGGTCCATAAAAAGCTTCTTCAGTGGGTAAAACACTGTGGTACAATTAAAACAGGTAGGGAAAAAAGCCTTTTAAGAGTATTAAAAGTTGTTTACTGGTGTTTCTACTGTAAAGCTATTTGTTCTACAAATCAGAATGAAAAAGCAGTTATATGACAGTGATCAGAGACTACAGTGCAGACATTTCATCTAACATTTGGCTGATGAATTTTAGTATAACAAGTTACGACTTAGTATTTTTTACACGATTATGACCTAAACCAGAACTAAAAACAAAAAAATACATATTCCGAGTCAATCTACTCTTCTTGGCAATGTCTGGGTTTAGATAAATCTGGAGGAAGTAGACAAAAGAAATACCTTCCATTAAGCCAACAAAAAAGAAATGTTAACTGGCAGAAATAGTATTTTTTTTTACTATGCATTCCAATCTGAAATTCTCATAAGTATGCAAGTACCTTATTGACATTTAAGCACACCCCCATGTATATGCACACAGCCCACTAATTAAATGCACCAACAGATTAAAATATACTTCCAAGTTAAAATGAATTTTAAGAAAAAACTGCATTCACAAATCTGAAAGGTGTACAAAAATGAAATTGTGAAATAAATAATGAATAGAGATGTCAACTAAACCTCCATAGAAATATGCCTGCAAATGTGAATGCAGTGATTGCCCACATTTGTAATGGTTTGAGAAGACATTCCCCAGGCAGAGCCATCCAGTTTCTCTGAGTCCAGTACATAGAGAATAATTCTGGATATAAGAGTACTTACTCTACGATTTATTATAGCCTTCATTAACAGTTACCATCCTTATCACATTTAGGGTTAACTTACTGTGACTTAATCTACTTAACACATTCTGAAATAACAATGTTTAAGTCAAGGCTTTTACCCATAGCTCCACTTCCACTTGTTTCTCTGTCCAAGTAATAACTTCCTATTTTTGTTATATCTTAAGTAACTATCATTTAATGCAATCTGGGTCAACTAGGTAAGAGAGATTTTCTACTCTACTCATCTTTTTAACTGCACTCCAGTATTTACTGTGTACCTGTGCCTGATTAAGCCAGTAAAAATGATGTTTTACACTAAAAATGACAAATTTCCTATTAAACAAAATCAGTTTTGTCAAATACTAAATCCACAATATTTTCCTTGGTTTAAATTGAGCATTTGCTTCCATTTTTCCAAGTCATTTCAACCTTGCCAATAACTACATAACTTAAACTTTCTTTTTTATGATTGCAAAGATTCTAAACTCTGACATAATATTTATGCTAAATACACGTAAAATAGACAACAAGATTTCAAGTAAAATAAATTGTATCCACATCTATTAGGCCAAATAGGCCTCAACATCTAGATTTTACTTCTATAAATTACACAAATACACTGTACAGTCTTAAATAGTGAATGCTTACATATTAATTTGTAAGCCTTTCCACATTAAATGACTTACACAGGAATGTGAATGGATCAATATTTCTGTTATAGATTGCAACATTGTCTCAATTTTCTCTTTTGTGGCTGTTGTTATGTCATCCTGGTTCCCACAGACTACTGTTATCAGTCCTTCTGCTTTGGCTATGAAATCTGAGCTGAATGAGGCAGCATTGGTAATTAAGGCTATTTCTATGATGGAGCATTATCCTTAAATCAGATGCCATTTCCAGAGAACAGTGGGAGAATCACAGCTATCTTGAATCTTCAGGCTCTGTTTTGATGACTTTCTTTTCTAAAGTAAAAGCTGAATGAGGGTAGTCTTTTAAAATTCCAAGGCTCTCTGCATAAAAATGAAAACACAAAGTGTGTTGATATTGATACTTCATATCAATGGATCACAAAAAACAAACTCGATTTGTAAAACAAATTCTTAAACTCCATAGCGAACAGTATCAGCTATTTATGATTCTGCAATTCCAAATAAAAACCTTATGTTTACAGAGTCATGGTTAAGGGTTTGGATTCTGGATTTAAATACCATCTCCACCAATTACTAGCTGTGTACATCCCTGGGCAAGTATGCACATCTTTCTAAGCCTTAGTATCTTCATCTACAAAATGGGAATAGTATCCATATATATGGTGGTATGAGAGTTAAGTCATGAAATGTAGGTAACAGCACTTAGCATATAAAACATAACAATTTTTTTAATGCTTTGTCCAATACGACAAAATAAAATTGGTCACTTGTATACAACAAAGTTACTGGCTAAAAAAAGTATTTCTTATTAAGGAAGAAATGAGGGAAAACATCTTCCATGTTGACACATGGAACTATTTTTTTTAAGCTTCTCTAGCCATGAAACATTAAGGTGGGAGAAAGGAATAAAAAAAGGAAGACTACTTTCATAAGGAATCATTCCTTGCAGTTATGTGTGTATAGTTATTTCAACCTCACACAAACATTACAGAATGACAATAAAATGTAGTATTTACATGAAGTACTAATACTGGGGGATACATACACACATACACATGCACTTTGAAAAGGATTCCAAAAAGGTAAATACTAATGGCCTATCTGAAATTAGGAAGTTCAATTTATTCATAAGTGAGTTTTAAATTGTGCATAAGAAAAGTAATAAAAAAATAGTACCTACCATTTTATGGAATTCCTATCAGCTAGGCACTAACACCAGTATCTTGTTTAATCAGAAATTACCTCTATTTTACAAATGAAGCAATTGATCAAGTGATTCCTGAAGTTACTTTAAGCCAAAGACTGAATGATACTGGATTCTTTGAAATGATGTTAGTCTACTTTAATTTTGTCTAACTCAATTTACTTAGATAAAAATATGTAAACATATAATTATAATAAGGAAGAGTTTATCCTTTTAGGGAGCTCAGTTTACTTCTGAAATAGGAATATCATCCCCAAAATGTATCTGCATGAAAAGTTTAGATTTTGGTACACAAGGTTCTCTTAGCATGAAAGCAAACATGCAATCCATCAATTCCATATTATGAAATGCCAGAAAAAGGCAATGGCACAACTCAAACTTGCCACTTAGGCCACTTATTATTTGGTTTAAAATTTGTATGAAAGTCATCATTCTCATAGTAGCCAATCAAAATAATCTTAACCTTCATGAGTTTTCCCCTGTCAATTCTTTGGAATATACCATGCTCTCAAAAAAACTGGCTATTATTGTGACACTCTATTATTTCCAAGGGCAGAAAAACTGACATGTAACATTGTTAGTTAAGAGCTTTTGGGAGGAAAGGGAGATTAACCATATCCCACATTCTAACCTGATGAGTGGGACTTTGCTTCACTGGAGTAAAGTCTACTCAGCTCCCCATCTACCACAAAATGATGGGATTGTCTATTCTGTAAATTAGGCATTCGGAGATTCAAAGGTCTTTCTCCTAATGAAAAGAAAACAGAAAGCAGTATGAATAATATTAAAAACACTCCATGGGTTTTCTTAAAAACAAGTGCCTGAACACCCCCTTAGGGAAGGAGTAAGGAAGGTCAACAGGCACTGAAGAACTTAAATAATAATTGGAGAAATATTTTAAACAATAATTTAGAAGAAAAATGGCAATTCATGCTAGTCCCAAAATTTACGTTTCTGCCAGTACATTTTTTTTATTTTGGTATCATTAATCTACAATTACATAAAGAACATTATGTTTACTAGGTTCCCCCCTTCACCAAGTCCCCCCCACATACCCCTTCACAGTCACTGCCCATCTGCACAGTAAGATGCTGTAAAATCACTACTTGTCTTCTCTGTGTTGC